AAAAAAAAAAAAAAAGACCAATTTCGTAGGGGAAACACTGTCTGAACCAAACTGTACTTACAGGTGAGAACTTGTTTGTCCCTGAATACTGGAGCAGTTGACCAGCTTCAGTCTCTCCGTTAGATTCACTTGGCCAACTCTGATCTTCACAGTGACGTCTGTAAATGAATAAAACATACATTTTAACACTGCATAGCTGGACTCATTGACTATTATAACCATGAAGATACTAAAAAAAGTCTTTTTAGCCTTTTACTGGCATAGTTTTCTTCTCACAGAGATGTAAGTTCAGTGTTTATCAAGTGAACTTTCTTCAAAACTGCTTTTTTAATTTCTCCTAATATTGTGAAYGGTTCATTCTCACATTGAGATCATTTTTTCTTCCGTGTTTTCTGTCTCATTCTACAATTTTTGTGCTATTTTAACAATTCATATATCAAAACTTTCAGCTCCTCCAAGACATTCCTTTTATGACTTGGTATTTCAGCTATTTATACTTTTTTTTTGTTACTATTTCACTTTTTCGGCTACATTTTTCCCATTGAAAATGACCGGAGCTAGTTTAAACATCCTTAAAATCCTTCAAAATGTTTCCAAATCTTTACAGAACCTTACACCTTTGATCTGGTTCTGCTCTTTTTAACATCCTTCTGCTAATTTTAGCTTCTTTTTTTTGGTAATTTTAGCTTTTTTCCTGCTATTTCAGCTATAATTCTGCTCCTTTCTGCTATTTTCTACTTTTTTGTGCTTCGTTTTGCTAACGTAAGCCATTATGCTTCTTACAGTTGCTTTCTGCTATATTCAGCTATTTGTAACAAATTTTGCTAATATTTAGCTGTTATTAGCTAAAGGTAGCCTTTTTTTAAGGCTAACTTCACATTTTGATAGCTATTTCAGCTTTCTGCTTAGTTCAGCAAACCTGTGCTTCTTATGCTTCCTTATGCTAATTTAAGATTTTCTAGCTACACTTTAGCTGATTTACCGCACATTTTGGCTGTTTTAGCCATTTTACAACAAATTGTCACGTTTTTGTACTTTTTTCCCCACTAATTTGACATGTGTTACTCCTTTCACCATCTTGGTGCTAATTTCAACATGTGTCTGGTACCGTTAGCTTGTTTATATGCTAATAATTTTTCTGCTATTTCAGCTATTATTCTGCTAGTTTCTGCTTTTTTGTGCTTCTTTCAACTTTTCGGTTTGAACTGACATTAACAGTTTTGCTATAAAACATTTTCAGCTCCATTTCAGCAGCTTTCAGCTAAAGTTTTCAGTGAAAGGCATTCCCTCTAGCATTTTCACAGGAAATCCAGTTTCTCTAGTAAAACCATAACACTGAGGATTTTTCTTGTAAAACAACAAGGGTTTTGGTTTTTACTTCATGATTAACATGTTCATTAATCAGACGTCACTTACCCTCAGCAGGAAGAGGACCAGAGAGGATGCAGGTGCATTGTGGGTAAATTGGCTCGGTTGTTTCACAAAGCTTCCCGGAGGATGAAATAAAATTGCAGGCAAAGTTTAAGTCAGTCTTCAGGCTCAGAGACAGGTGGGTCTGGACGATCAGCTTCATCTGATGAAGGAAGGAAAATAAGAAACATTTCACGGCTCAGAGTCAGACCTGCGTTAAAAAACCCACCTTTCCGCTCGGACCCTCCAGAACTCTGTGAGAAACCATCTTCTGCTGGGCTTCATCGGGGATGGACACCCAGTCCTGGCCTCTGCAGTCGTCCTGGACCTCGCAGCTGAGAGACGTTCAAACATGGTCACAAACGTTTCAAACACTCCACAGGTGTCAGCTGCAGGGGAAGCTTCTCCTCACCTGTTCTTGGAGACGCACCACACACAGAACGGATCCTGAGCGGACCAGCACTCCTGCAGGGTTCTGCTCAGGCGGCAGTTTGATATCAGAACGCGTTTAATCTGAAACAAAAACACAGATTTTATAAAAAGCAGCTGCGGCACCTGAAGATATGTAGAAAAACACTTTGTGTACCTGGTTTTTAAACGGCACATAGACATGTTTCTGATCCACTGGATCCAGATGGGTTTTAGGAAACAGGTTCTGGTCTCCACTGGCCCTGTAGAGCACCTTTGGACAGGTGGGATGGTAGTTCCTGTCCGCAGCAATCTGAGGACAAACAGTTTTTATTAGATTAAAGTAAATGTTTTTGTTTCTGACTGATGTGGTTCTGTCTTCTGACACTGCGGTGAGCTCAGACCAGAACTGAAAAGCTGCTGTTGTTTCTGTTTTCAGTCACTTCCGCTTTTTAGTTTTTGCTTCATCAGCTTGTTTTGTGCTTGTTACAGACTCGTCTTCCTCTTTTCAGCTGCAGTTGAGTCAAAGTTCGGTACAAACCTTGATGAGCTGCCCGTCTGACGTCCCGATCAGGAAAACTATCCAACCCCTCTGCCTCAGTGCCAAAACCGAGCTCATGTGGTTCTTCTTCAGGATCACCGCCTTCGGTTTCAGCACCTTTGGTTCCGACTGAGAAACAGAAACACAACAATTCAATCTGAAGATAAACACTAAAACTCATCTAATCTGCAGCCAACATAAAACCTCATCATGTTAACACCATCCCACAGTAAAGCATGGTGGTGGCAGCATCATGCACCTCCAGACATTCGGTCCACCTTCCTGCAGGAGTATAAGCTCTAAACACACCACAGAAACTACACTCCAGTGGTTTAAAGAGACCCAGCTAAAGGTCCTGGAATGGTCCAAACAAACCTCGGTCCATCTGAGGACCCAACAGTTTAGTGTGGCTCTAAAAAAGTTTTGTTTTTTCTTATTTCTTGTTTATATATGATTCAAACCCAACTCCTGGTACCATCTCAATGATACGATCGCAATATTTATCATGATACGACAATATATCTGTTTGTTTGGATGACAACATGTTTCAATATCACATAGTGTTATAATACGATTTCAATTCACATCAATTCAAGTCTGATGGATATGATGCAATATGTCAGTCCACATGGGGTATCTGATGACAACGATGGATCAATATTTTTGTTTTGCCTAAATGTTTTTAAACAATAATTTAATCAATATATCAATGTATAGTAACACCCCTACATCTAAAACAGTTATTTACTAAATGATTGTGTTAAATTGGCATTTAATATCGCATCAGACTAGTGAATTGATCAAAATTGTATCATGACACTTTGTGATATTGAAACATTGTATCGTCATCCAAACCAACCGATATATCGTCGTATCACGATGAAGCTGCTGATTTACACTCTTAGATGTGCAGATGATACTGATCTACATCGGACATTTGATGATGATATGGATCAATGTTTTCATTTTGCCTTGAAGCTCCCAAGTAGACCTGAGGTTGAAGTGAAATCACTAAGAGTCAATTCAGCTGCTTTATCACGATAAGACGATATATCGATTTGTTTAAATGACGATACAATGTTTCAATATCACAAAGTGTTATGATTTGATTTCGATTCACATCAATTCACGATGTGGATCTTTGCATTGTATCAATCAGACTTGTGAACTGATGTGAATTGAAATCATATCATGACACTTTGAGATATTGAAACATTGCATCGTCATTTAAACAAATCGATATATCGTCGTRTCGTGATAAACCTGCTGATTTACACTCCTAGATGTGTAGTTGATACTGATCTACATCAGACATATGATGACGATATAGATTGATGTTTTTGTTTTGCCTTGAAGCTCYCCAGTGGACCTGAGGTTGAAGTGAAACCACTATGAGTCAGTTTGGCAACTTTATCACGATACGACGATATATCGATTTATTTGGACGAYGATAYGACGATTCAGTTTAATTCCTAAATCTGATTGATATACAATATCATATGTTAATATAACACAATCATTTRGTAAATTATTGTGTTATACTGGTATCCATCCAGATTTAAAACAAAAAAATGTATGAATTACTGGAAGATCTGCCCCTGAGTTGTTGGCTGAACAGTTTAGTTGAACAGACCTGCAGCGTTTTGTGTCACAGATTTACAACAAATACTTTATAAAAATCATTTCAGTTGAACACGCTGACCCACCTGTCTTGAGCTTCCAGATCCATAAGAAAAGTCTGGATCTGTGTTTGGATTGTTGCTGAGGTCAGGGCTGATGTCAAACAGAACCAGCTGGGTTTCAGTTCCTCCTTGGTCCACAATGAACACCCCGCTCCACAGAACCTGCTGCSCCCCCGGGATGACTGAGGAAGCCAACAGTTTGCTGCCTGGATCTGCAGAGACCTGGAGAGTCGCTCCACGCAGAGACCTCAGAGTGTCAGATTTACTGTCTTTACCCTGAAACCAAAGGAGACGGATCCGTCTGGKCTTTGACACCACGTTGGAGAGAAGAYAAACTGTTGAATTGATCTGAAATCCATCYACAAAATCCACATCATGATCACTATTGATCCCAGGAGTTCCTGATGAATCTTGTAGAGAAAATATTTCTCTCCATTCATTATTATCTGTATCATGAAGGTTAACCATTTTATTATCAGAGGGACATTTCTCTGTCTCATCTTTGYTTTTTTCTTTGAACGCAGTCAGAATATAAGTCTCCATCTTTGTTGCATCTTTCTTCACATCCACCATGAACCCAACAGACCCACTGCTGGTCCTCAGGGGTCCCACCTGGATGTGTTCTCCATGCAGAATTGTAGAGATGTTTTTCAAGTCCCTGATCTCACAGAAACCACACTTAGGATCAACAACTCCACAGCTGATCAGTGATCCATTCCTAACAAAAGGTAACAATGTGTTGACGGTAAAGGTTGTGTTCCCCTCAGAGTCCCGATGAAACACAGGCTGGTCCCCGTCCTTCATGAACCCCCTCTGAGTCAGCGTCCAGACCGGAGTCAGGTCATGGCTCAGCTGGTACAGCTTCTTCTCTGTGGAGATGAAGACAGAGACGTTGGACACCTCGAAGTGACGAATATCTTCATCAAAACTGAAATCTCCGTCCTGYAGAGACAGGACTGGTTCTGTCCAGAAGGACCACAGCAGACCGAGCAGCAGGATCATCCTGGAACATCAGAGCCGGACTCAGTCAGACCCAGACTGCAGGACACTTTGTGCTCTGTACATAAAGGCGCATCGGTGAAAAGGAGAAGTGTTGAAAGTGGGAGGAAGAAAAACCCAGCAGCACTGGAAACTGCAGACCTGTGAGGTAACATCTGGTTTCTGGAGATTTGGAAACACTTCTCTCTTCAAGCTGCCTCTGGTTTCTAAGTGTTGGATGAAACACGCTCACTTCTCTGCACCGCCTCTGGAAAATCTCCAGCAGGAGCAACAGTGACAGAAATCTCAGGCAGTTTCCAAACTGCTTTTAAAACTGGAGCAAGAGCGACATCTAGTGTCCAACCTGAAGTTTGACCAGCAGATCATGGGTTAAAACCACTCCTTTAGCTACAAACAAGTTGTTAAAACAAAAAATATTGTCTGCTAACTTTAGCTGCTGCTTCTTTCAGCTGTTCTCTCAGAGGTCTCTACAGCGAGTCCTCCTCCATCTCTTCTGCTTCCCCTTTCCAATTACTTTCATGTCCTCTCTAGCTGCAAGTTAGCAGCTAAATTCAGTTAACTGGTTTGTTTTGTTTACATTGAGTGTGTACCTGCATCTCAAGACATCATACTAATATATGTGGAAAGCTACTGGCTAAATGCAAATCATCCTAGGCATTTTAGATAGCCAAATTTAGCTGCAAACTTCTCAAGACAGTTAGCTGCAGACTATTTCAAGACAATTAGCTGAATTTAACTGCAAAAATCTCAAGACAGTTAGCTAAATTTAGCTGCAAACATCTCAAGACAGTTAGCTAAATTTAGCTGCAAACATCTCAAGATAGTTAGCTGAATTTAGCTGCAGACTATTTCAAGAC